CACACACACACACACACACACACACACACACACACACACACACACACACACACACGCACACACACTAATACTTCCGTACCCTGAGGTAAAAAATAGACAGAGCTAATTGCAAAGAAATTCTCTCATTCATTCTACCCTGTCCTCTGAAACTTCCGCCAACCCAACACCCATTAACACGTACACGTCCCGACACGACCTGACCAAATGTGTGGGGGAATCTCTCTATCAGAAATCCCCTCTCTTCGCTCATGTGGAGATGCAGATTGTCTGTACCAATTAAGGGAGAGTAGCTTCATCGACTTGTACTTGGCTAACACGTTAACCCCATCCTTCTTAGTCTGCCTCCACTTCCGTTAGAATTCACACCACGACACGGACTTGACTCCCAATGCGTAGGAAGGTGGCAGCTTGTCTGCACATTTGCTGGCACGACGCAAAGACATTAGTCTCCACCAGACTGAATAAATGGTAGAAATCGACCTAAGAAGGGGATGTAATCGGCCATAGGAGTTGGCTGGCCAGAGAGGGTCCAATTTGCCTTCACAGACTCCGTAATAAGACCCTCTTTGGTCGGCTAGCTCCATTGGGCCAGTTGCATTCGTATTTAGACCGATTTCTACTATTTAGTCAGCCTGCAAAGGAGTCTGGTGGATACTACAATGACATATCTCTGAATACCTAAATCAAAAGTGCTTCAGGCATATCAACGCATAATGTACAAAAAAATAAAATACAAGACTCAACTACAAAATACATGTAATACTGCCGTACACAATTATGGCAATCTATCTTGTAAACAAGGATTATATGGTTTTACAAGAAAGGACTATGCATGAAGACGTCTGAGTGGATTATCTGTTTTATAATGACTTGTCTGTGGTGAGGATGCGTTCTGAATGCACTATGTAATGCAATAGGGTTTATTCAACTCACTATGTATGGTTTACGTATCCCAAATGATTTCTAATATAGTCTTAATTTTACATTGAGTACCTTCCACTCATATATTGTCATTGTTTAGGTTATATGTACCTAGTATCTTCATTTTCATATTTACAACTAGGTTTCATTTGAGAATTTGCAATATACCTTAATTTTTAGGATTGCAATTAAGGTGGCAAAAATACACTTTGCAATGCTGTATTCAAGGTTCTTACATTATCACAAGTACATTATGTATTCATCTAAAGCATTCCAACAACACAACAGAATCTCGGCATCAAAAAGAGGATTACTTCGTACTTCAGGCTGTCTTCGAGAATTATTAATATCTCTGTAATAATCCGTGTATCAGCCTTGCTGTCTGCATTCGGAATTTCTCCGTAGTTTAGGCATAGGGAAAAAATGTTGTGTTTCCTGTTTCCCGTCCGACCCAAGAAAAAAACTGCCGACCCTAACCTAAAAGTCTAATAAAAAGAAGAAAGCAAAACAAATGCATAATGTTCACCTTCGCATATGGTCTGCTCTGTTGATTCTTACTCAAACACATTTCATATATATATGGTCAGACAGGAGTATAAATCCCTCCTGCTATAAAATTGCAACATAATGTAACCCAACACTAGTTACCATGGTGACAGACGTCAGGTTCAGGTCATTGACCTTATCTGTTTGGAGAAGAAGAAGAGGAAGAGACTGAGCAAAAATAATGTGTTTTCCTTCGGTGAGCATAAAAATGAATCCCTACCTACCGACCCTAATTTTTCCATGACTGAAACAGGAAACACACCTTTTATTTCCTAGGCCTTTAATACCAGAATTACTCCCTCCAGGCAGATACAGCGGCGCCGGTCTACTCATAGAACCCTCTGACGTCACCGATGACGTCCTAAGAATTTGTTCGATCAGAAATGCCTCTTCTGGCGCTCACAGATAAGGTTACGGTTCGGTTGCGTAAGTCGGCAAACTTGTTGATTTCCTTTTCGCGGGAGCAAGAATCGATGGAGCGTTACTAAAGCCACAGCAAGTAATTTTTAAGGATGACATCAGCGCGCGCATTAATTTTCGCCAGCATGATTTTGAAAAAAAAAACAACAAGAAATTTTGTTGCCCTCTGACAGTAGTCAACATGCCGAAAATGGGCAAAGATGTCTGTTGCCATGCCGGGAGGTGGATGGCAGAGAAATATGAAGAGAAGATACAAGACAAGGCTCTGATTTAATGTTTTGTCTTATACTTACTTACTTTGATGCAGTGATGTGTTTTATTCCTTTTACATGTGATGCTGGTTGTGTAAATGTGATGTTCCCAGTGAATCAAAACCATTTGTACAATGGTTGAAAACTTGTATTTTTATTTTTTTTTTAGTGAGAGGTGAATGTTGTAATAATTGGCAGGGGTCTACAATATCATTTCTTGTTTAACAAGCTTTGTGATGTCGAAATTTGAAAATGTAGGAATCTTGTTTTTTCTTCGGCTCGTCTTGTTGTTTTTTTTTTTTGTTGTTGTTTTTTTTTGCCCTATCGCATTAGATTATGAGTCTGAGGAGGATGTCATCCATAAAATATATTTACTGCAGCCTAAAGCTAGCCACGGGGTCGTGATAAATGCCTCGATTCCCTAAGTACTTGGCGAGTTCAAGCGGAAAATTCCCGCTCTACCGACCCGCTAGCAGTCATATGACGTACGTAAGAGTTTTCCGCCAGCTATTTTAAGCCGCCGCAAAGGTTTGACTCGTGATACCATCACCCATTAAACGATTTTCCCTGGAGTGGGACGCCATTCTCTCGTGGATTTGATGCGATCCTTCGCCGAATCTATGTCTAGAGGTGATGCTGATGAGGAGCTTTCAATGTGCCGCTAGGTTCACGTCCAGCTCGCAACATTGCACTGTCTAAATACCAATCTACAAGCCCCGCGAGCCCTCTACAGCAACATTTCTATCTATTCCACGGACTTCAAAATTATGGAACTCTCTCCCTGACAAATGTTATGATCCCATTTTGGCACAATCAAAGAGGCGGCCCGACATGCTAGCCTACATCAGGCCCTCCTACGGGGGTACGGATCGTAGAATTCGGCTAGCCTCTACCAGGCTTCGGGAGGCGGCTGGAAAGAGTAGAAACTGACCAAATAGAAAGATAACATGCCAGTGGTACTGTTCCGCTAGAGAGTGCAAGTTATCTCTCTATTTGGCCATTTTCCACTCCTTCCAGCCGCTTTCTGAAGCCTGGTAGAGGCTAGAATTCGACACAAAATTGAAATAATTTGTCAGGAGAGACAGTCCGCGGGAGGGTTAATTTCTAAATTAAGCCCACCCTAATTGACTCTACAGTGGCCAATCTCCCCAAGCCAATTTATTCTCCCTACTTGGGTAAATTTTGCAGGCTGTGAAGCCGGAAGGCCTCGTTGTGTGACAAGCCTTAAGTGGGTTTCCCCAAGTGACTAACGGTAAATGTGTGGGTGGATCTTACTGTCAAACTACGGGTGCAAAATCTCTTCCTGACACTTGACTGCGTTCAAATACACTCACACTCACACAATATCGTTAGACCAAAAGAAGTGGAAAGAAAGTAGCATTCGTCGGGAAATACATTTCACCCCCCCTCCACACACACACAC